TGAAAGATATTACTGATTTGTTGTTGCTATTTGGTGCCATCTAGTTGATCCCAACTCATGACGACCTGATGTGCAACAGGAAGAAGTACTGCCTGGTCTTGCGCCATCCTAATAATCTTGCTATACTTGAGCCCATTGTTTTGCCACTGTATCAGTCCATCTTCCTGAAGGTTTTCCTCTTTTTTACTGATCCTGTTTTTTACCAAGCATGATGTCCTTCCCCAGAGACTGATTCCTCCTTATAACATGTCCAAAGTATATCAGATAAAGTCTTGCCATGCATTCTGGCTGTACTTCTTCCAAGACACATTTGTTCGTTCTGGCAGTGTGTGGTATATTCCGTATTCTTCACCAATACTATAATTCCAATGTTTCCATTCTTCTTTGGTTTTTATTATTCACTGTCCAGCTCTCACGTGCATGAGGTGATTGAAAATACGGTGGTTTGGGGTCAGCACACCTGAGTCTACAAAGTGACATCTTTGCTTTTTAATACTTTAAAGGGATCTTTTGCAGGAGATTTGCCCAAAGCAGTATGTCATTTGATTTCTTGACTGCTCCTCTCATGAGCATTGGTTGTGGATCCAAATAAAATGAAATCCATGATAACTTCAGTCGTTTCTCCATTTGTCATGTTGCTTATTGGTCCAGTTGTGAGGGTATTATTTTTATGCTGAGGTGAAATTCTTACTGATGACTGTAGGCTTTGATCTTTATGAGTAGGTGCTTTAAGTCTTCTTTTTCAGCAACAAGGTTGTGTTATTTGCATATCACAGGTTGTTATGCCATGTTCTTCTTCATATAGTCCAGCATCCCAGATTATTTGCTCAGCATGCAGTTTGAATAAGTATAGTGAAAGGATACAACCCTGATGCACACTTTTCCTGATTATAAACCATGCAGTATCATCTTGTTGTATTCAAACAACTGCATCTTGGTCTATTTACAGGTTCCTCATGTGCACAATTAAGTGTTCTGGAATTCTCGTTCTCTATAATGTTATCTGTATTTGTTATGATCCACACATTCAAAGGCCTTTGCATAGTTAATAAAACACGGGTAAAAATCTTTCTGGTATTCTTCATTTTGGCCATCCTTTTCTTTGGCATGTTTTTCAATTTTTATGTAGACAGATCTATATACAGTTAATACCTTGTTTTACTGCACTTTGTTTTACTGCACTTGGCAGTACTGAATTTTTTTAATATAAATTTAAGATTTGTGACAACCTTGCATGAGCAAGCCTATCAGTGCCATTTGTTCAACAGCATTTGCTCACTTGCTTTCAGCCATGATCCATTTGATATTAGCAATAATATCCGTCATCCCACATCCTCTCTGAATCAGGGTGACTTGCTGCTTTACTGTCAAGTTAGTGAGTGTAGATTTTTTTCAATGGAAGTGGAGTACAGGATATATTAGGAAGGAAATTCTGAAGGCATTTAATATTTGTTTATAAATATATGTTAGTTTGTGTTTTGTGCACAATTTGGTAGACTATTTTCCGTTACATTACTTCTGAAATGTAAAAGATCTTAATCCAGTTGATGTCCTTGGGATTTAATAGGAAATACCAGTGAGCTTCTTGTCAGATTTTGAAATTAATTTGATAGTGGTGATAACAGGGAACCAGTCCTTTAAGGTTCTCTTTTTCCACTTAGCTAATTTCCAAGTGTCTTCAAAATGGTTAAAATTTGATCTCTAGGAAGTCTTCACTAACTGATCTCATTCTGGGCTAGATGTCTACCCTTTGTGCAACAAGAGTGCTTCCTACTCCAGAAACACTGTTTAGCTGATTCTCTCTCTCTCAATCTCTCTCTCTCTCTCTCTCTCTCTCTCTCTCTCTCTGTATGTGTATGTGTATGTACACACGCACTCTTTATAAATGTTTGCTGGATGACTGAGCGTATTTATCAAATCAGAAAGTGTTAACATCTCACACTAAAGTTGAATGTGTTCTAATATGAAGAGGGAAAAATAGGAAAAAGTAAAAATAATGGAGGGCATTTAACTTAAAATAACAGGAAAAGTATTACAAAGGGAAAAACAAATGCAGGCATACCTCTGAGATATTGCAGGTTCAGTTCCAGACCACCACAATAAAGCAAACATTGCAACAAAGTGAGTCACATGATTGATAAATGTGTGTGTGTGTGTATATATATACATATGTATGTATGTATTTTTTGGTTTCCCAGTGCTTATAAAAGTTATATTTACATAATACTGTAGGCTATTAAGTATAATAGCATTATGAGAAATTTTGAAATATTGTATTAGAAAAAGGTGACAGAAACATGAAGTGAGCAAATGCTATTGGACAAATGGCACTGATAGGCTTGCTCAATGCAAGGTTCTCACAAACCTTAAATTAATTTAAAAAATGCAGTACTGCCAAGTTCAATAAAGTAAAATGCAGTAAGACAAGGTATAACTGTATAGATTTGTCTGCATAAAAATGTAAAAACATGCCGAAGAAAAGGATGAACAAAATCAAAATATATGCAACTGAGTAGAATAAACAAATATAACAAATATTACATATATGTCATTATTATAAAATAGCTCAGGGAAATTGATAAGAGAAACAGTCTCATAGAAAATGGGTATAAAATCAATTAACTTATTTTCAAAAGAGGGAATGTATATGAAAAAAGTTCCAAATTCTCTGTATCTTTCAAATAGTTTCACTTTTTTTCCATCACTACAACTATTATAGTTCAAGGTATGCCTCCAACTAAGACTACTATAATATTGTTGTTGTTAGGTGGCTTTGAGTTGTTTCCAAGTCATAGAGACCCCATGTACAACAGAACAAACACTATCCAGTCCTGTGCCAGGCTCACAGTTCTTTCTATACCTGAGCCCATTGTTGGAGCCATTGTGTCAGTCCATCTTGTTGAGGGACTTCCCCTTTTTCATTGACCCTCAACTTTACCAAGCATGATATCCTTCTGCAGGGAATGGTCCTTCTGACAACATGACCAAAGTAGGTGAGACAAAGTCTGTCCATTCTCACTTCCAAGGAACATCATGGCTGCCCTTCATTCAGGATGAGTTTGTTAGTTCTTTTGGCAGTCCGTGGTACTTTCAGTATTCTTCACCAACAGCACAACTCAAAAGCATCAGCTCTTCTTCAGTCTGCCTTATTCATTGTCCAGCTTACACATGCATACAAGGCAGTTGAAAATACCATGGCTTAGGTTAGGCACACTTTAGTCTTCAAAGAGACATCTTTGCTCTTCAGCACTCCCAGGTCTTTTGCAGTAGATTTGCCCAGTGCAATACATCATCTAACTTCTTGACTGCTGCTTCCATTGGTGTTGATTGTGGAGCCAAGTAATATGAAATA